CCCAGTGTAATGAATGTATTGGTATAAATAAATATGACTTCTACTAGTGTTAGTTGTAATTCATGATGTTAGAATTATCGTATACTGCAGCTTGAGTCTACCACTCATTTCTGAAAACCCTTAGGCTACATGTATACTGGAACTGCCGAAGATGCTATCTCTGCTGGCAGCAGAAAAACTGTAAATGCGGCTTAAACGCGGTACCTTGTTTAGACACATTTAGCACTGGGACGTTTATTCATTTCATTGGCCAGAGTACTTGCCATTGAAATTAATAAACACCCATGCACTAAACGTGCTTAGACGCATTTACAGTGGGGATCGAAAGTTTGGGCACCCCAGCTAAAAATTTGTATTAATGTGCATAAAGAAGCCAAGTAAAGATGCAAAAATCTCCAAAAGGCATCAAATTACAGATTAGACATTCTTATAATATGTCAACAAAAGTTAGATTTTATTTCCATCATTTACACTTTCAAAATAACAGAAAACAAAAAAATAGCGTCTGCAAAAGTTTGGGCACCCTGCAGAATTTATAGCATGCACTGCCCCCTTTGCAAAGCTGAGTCCTGCCAGTGTCATGGATTGTTCTCAATCATCGTCTGGGAAGACCAGGTGATGTCAATCTCAAAGGTTTTAAATGCCCAGACTCATCTGACCTTGCCCCAACAATCAGCACCATGGGTTCTTCTAAGCAGTTGTCTAGAAAACTGAAACTGAAAATAGTTGACGCTCACAAAGCTGGAGAAGGCTATAAGAAGATAGCAAAGCGTTTTCAGATGTCAATATCCTCTGTTCGGAATGTAATTAAGAAATGGCAGTCATCAGGAACAGTGGAAGTTAAAGCAAGATCTGGAAGACCAAGAAAAATATCAGACAGAACAGCTCGCAGGATTGTGAAAAATACAATTCAAAACCCACGTTTGACTGCATGATCCCTCCAGAAAGATCTGGCAGACACTGGAGTTGTGGTACACTATTCCACTATAAAGAGATACTTGTACAAATATGGTCTTCATGGAAGAGTCATCAGAAGAAAACCTCTTCTACGTCCTCACCACAAAAATCATCGTTTGAACTTTGCAAATGAACATATAGACAAGCCTGATGCATTTTGGAAACAAGTTCTGTGGACCGATGAGGTTAAAATTGAACTTTTTGGCCGGAATGAGCAAAGGTACGTTTGGAGAAGAAGGGGCACAGAATTTAATGAAAAGAACCTCTGTCCAACTGTTAAGCATGGGGTTGGATCAATCATGCTTTGGGGTTGTGTTGCAGCCAGTGGCACAGGGAACATCTCACGATAGAAGGAAAAATTGATTCAATAAAATTTCAGCAAATTTTGGATGGTAACTTGATGCCATCTGTGAAAAAGCTGAGGTTAAAGAGAGGATGGCTTCTACAAATGGATAATGATCCTAAACACACCTCGAAATCCACGGGGGATTACATCAAGCGGCGTAAACTGAAGGTTTTGCCATGGCTTTCACAATCTCCTGACCTCAACATAATTGAAAATCTATGGATAGACCTTAAAAGAGCAGTGCGTGACAGACAGCCCAGAAATCTCAAAGAACTGGAAGACTTTTGTAAGGAAGAATGGGCAAAGATACCTCAAACAAGAATTGAAAGACTCTTGGCTGGCTACAAAAAGCGTTTACAAGCTGTGATACTTGCCAAAGGGGGCCGTACAAGATATTAACTCTGCAGGGTGCCCAAACTTTTGCAGACGCCATTTTTTTGTTTTCTGTTATTTTGAAAGTGTAAATGATGGAAATAAAATCTAACTTTTGTTGACATATTATAAGAATGTCTAATCTGTAATTTGATGCCTTTTGGAGATTTTTCCATCTTTCCTTGGCTTCTTTTATGCACATTAATACAAATTTTTAGCTGGGGTGCCCAAACGTTCGATCCCCACTGTACATGTGTTTTTGGCATTTTGTGGCCAAAACATTCCTCTCCTGAATGTGATTCTTCTGCGTTCAGGTGAGGGTCATTTAACTGCCCCTAAACTCTGTTGCTGCTAAACTCTAATAATAGCCTATGTGTGCATGGACACAAAGGATTTTATTGAGTTGAGTTTAGAGGCCAAAATCTCTTAAACTCACGTTTATGAGCAACAGTGTACATAAGGCCTTAGAGGCAGTCCGTTCCATTCTAAATAAGTTGGAGAAAGGCCACAGTAAGACAAACTCCATCCTTTTTCGGAACTAAAAATGGAAAAACCAAGGAATAGTGAGAAATCCATACCAGAATGACAAACATCTGTATCTAGGTGATATGAGTGGTCTTCAGCTGGTTAATTTGACTCTGTATACTAGACACTTTCTCATGGGTTCACAACCTTGATGGCCAGGAAAAGGAGGCGAGTGTGTGCCCCCCTCTTCTACCATAGTAGCCCACATACCTTCAACATTGGCAGGGTATCTTGCAGTGGATGGGGGAAGCAGAACAGCCCCCTCCTTGCAAGGTTTTTACAAGGAAATGGCATGCGGTTCCTCTAAATTTCAAGTCAGTCCCTTATCCAGGTCTGCATTGGGTGGCCAAGAAAGGGACACTCTCCCACACCTGGTCCCTGGAGGATGCAGGGAGGGGGGGAGAGGGTTATCGGAATCTGGAAACCCCCTATGTGATAAGGAGGCCACCAGATATCTGCCCCTCAAGGGAATGAGTACAGGGTATGTTAGTACCTCTTATTCATTTCCAAAAATATTTCAATGTAAAAATAAGCACCCACACAGTGACTAAGTCCTTTGTTTATTTTTAAATTAAATTCTCCCATCGCACTCCATCTGCAAAACTACAGATTCCCAGCTGGCTGCTTATAGGTAAAACAACCGGCCAGGGGATCCTAGGTGACCTCATAGAACAAATAGTGTTACTGCTGCAAAATGACATTCCCCAGCTGATGTTTGTTTATTAAGTTCAGAGGTTTGGGACAGTTCACCAAACTATGAACAGGCTCATGTGCCACACAAAGCTCATCTCTTATCTTAGAACATTTAAATGTAAGCGTTTTAAAACACTTGCCAGTGACATTGTAATATTGACAGAAACATTGACCTCAGCTGTTATTTTTTCAGTGCTGGTTAGGAAATGAGGAAAATAATCTGTTTCTTATGACAGTATTGATTTGTTGACCTTTTAACACGCAAGATCCTCCAATGCTATATCTTACTGTTCCCGGCAAAGAAGAAAGAAGATATGTAGTAAACTACACAATTTCAATGTTCTAATGAAGATCACTGAATGGTGAATTCTGCCTTACATTGCCAAACTTTGCACTACCGTGCTGAATAGGGCTTCAAATTTCAAAAAAAGTGTACATGTCATGTTTGGTTCCAGTGATTTATGTTCCTAACCTTCATACTCCAAAAATCACCTACTGCATTATAGAAAGTTTTTGGAAGGAGCCCAGGAGGCTTCTGTTTTACAACAAAAACCTTCCCGAAATTTTAATTCAGGTAAACCATAGTTGTAGCCGTAGCCAAATTGTGTTGGCTCCACTTAACATATTTTTTCACTTTTTATTCAGTTGCATGTTTTTCATAATCCTTCCAAATGACTGATTGCAGTTTGTGTAACAGTGGGAAATACATCCACTGTTATGAGGGTACAAAGAATTAAACCCAAAGCAGACCGCTCCGTGTTTCATAGCATTTTACTAATACATTTAATGGTTTCTAATCAGTGTTTCAAGAACATACAGTATTTACAGGGGTTTGAGCTTTGCTGATGCATTGGTTTTATGTTTTCAAGCTGGAAAAAAAAGGATTTAATCTCTCTAGAGGAGCTGAAATGTCAATATACAGAAGGCTTATATAGCCAATTTTATTTTGTTTGTTCAGATTGAGGAAGGGTTAGAACTCATGTCAGGTTAGAGCTCATTCATTCCATAATGTGAGTCATGACTTACATTATAACATGCGTTACTGTGACATGCTGTAGATATGTACTGCATCCCAACACATAGCTACACTGTGCTGCAATACACCTGCATTAAAGTGCATTGCATAATTCTCAGATATACTGTATATGCCCTGTGCTCTGCTTTGCACTTCCAGAAAATGGTGCAGGACCTTTTTTTTCATGCATTGACAACCCTTTGATTTTAAATAGGCTGCGTAACTCAATGTGCATGTTGCAGCTCACCGTGATATAATGTGAATGGGTCCTTACTGCCACCGATGTCCCTGGGTAAACACATACTCTCTTTTTGTCATGGACCACTGTCACCAGGACTGGAAGTGAGGGAAAATCCAAACTTTTGATTTTTCACCAGAATAAGAATAGAGGGGAAATATATTGAGTGGGGACCCTTTTTTCAGTGACATCTAACAACTGTTTTTTTCACATTTTAGTGATCTCTCCATTTCCTATATACTAGAGATACAGCAGGAAGTGAGAGGAAATCTCTCCAGGTGGCAAAAATAACCTGACAGGTATTTTAACTGCTTCCCATTCCCGTTACCCTGCATTGGCAGCTCCTTCACGGCTCACAGAGCATGCAGTGGGGAGCACAGTGATTCCTGTGTCGCCCAGACACCACGGATCACATTACCGTTGTGTCTGGGTGATCACATGGTCTTGTACCATGTGATTGCTGTGTCCAGTCAAATTAATCACATAGTACTCAATGGGAACCAAAAGTAAACATTGATTCTCTCTGCTCTCAAACAGATCAGCTGTGAGAATAGAGAGAACTGATGCATCAGCCTGTCAGTGTCACAGTGCATGTACACTCACAGACTGCAGTCCAGCCATCCCCAGTGTCCCTGACAGAGCTCCGAGGAAGAGGTTGTGTCCTCGAAACGCGTTAGCCAGTTTGTCATCCAGGGTTCCATCTTATCAGATGTTGTTTGGATCATACATCTTGTTCAGTTTGACATGCCTGTGTTTTTATGTCTATTGTGAGTATGATACTTACTTTATTTCTTCAATAAATATTTTAAACGATAATGCACTAGGTCGGTGCGCCCTTTTTCTGTTTCTCCATTTGCATCCAGTGTATTTGGACCACCCCGGTCTGTTGAGAGCAGCAAGCAGTGCATATTCCAGAAAATTCCAACACTCCTATTGGGTCTACTGAGTCTTTTCCTAGCGCAGGAGAAAAGTGTTTGTTGTACTGCAGACACAGTACAGGAGATGACCAGAGACTGCGGACACAGTACAGGAGATGACCAGAGACTGCAGACATAGTACATACCAGTACAGGGAGATGACCAGAGACTGCGGACACAGTACAGGAGATGACCAGAGACTGCAGACATAGTACAGGAGATGACCAGAGACTGCGGACTTAGTACAGGGGATGGCCAGAGACTGCAGACATAGTACAGGAGATGACCAGCGACTGCAGACAGTACAGGAGATGACCAGAGACTGCAAACAGTACAGGGGATGACCAAGAGACTGCCGACAGTACAGTAGATGATCAGAGACTGTGGACCTTTGGGGAGGGAGGGGGAGCGGGTACCTGAATTTGACAGGTACCCGCTCCCACTTCCGCGGAGTTGTCCACCCTTTAGTGTGGGCACCCGGCTGTGACAGCTGGGTGCCCACTGCGAATACGCAAGAAGCGCTGTGCTTTGTGAATGACCTGGTGTCTTCTGGGATACATGACAGGTCCCAGAAGACACCAGGCCAGTCACAAAGTGCAGCGCTTCTCGCACATGCGCAGTGAGCACCTGGCTGTCCCTGGTCGTACCCACACTAAAGGGAGGACAACTCTGCGGAAGTGGGAGTGGGTACCTGTCAAATTCAGGTACCCGCTCCCCCTCCCTCCCCAAAGGTCCACAGTCTCTGATCATCTCCTGTACTGTCGGCAGTCTCTTGGTCATCCCCTGTACTGTCTGCAGTCTCTGGTCGCCGGGTTCACACACTAAAGATGCCGGCGCAGGAGGACCGAGGAACAGGTAAAGTCCTGCTGAAGAGAAGAGCTGAGCGGCCAGTCCGGTATTCTGACATGGTGTCGGCAGTGGAAATACCGGACCGGCCGCTCCATATTTGCTCCATAAGACGCACTGACATTTTCCCCCCTTTTTTGGGGGAAAAAAGTGTGTCTTATGGAGTGAAAAATACGGTAGTTTGTTAACACAGAATGGGGTTGATTTACTAAAAGTGGAGAGTGCAAAATCAGGTGCAGCTGTGCATGGTAGCCAATCAGCTTCTAACTTGTTCAGTTAAGCTTTGACAAAAAAAAATCTGGAAGCTGATTGGTTTCTATGCAAGGCTGCACCAGATTTTGCACTCTCCAGTTTTAGTAAATAATCCCATGTGTATTAAATTAGGTCTATTTTTTTTTTAATAAAAAAGTTTTGGCTTGAGAGATACATAAAAATATAAATTGAGATTTCAGGTAATTATTCTGTCAGTATTTAAAAATACAATAAATATATCTGAATACAGCCAGACCTAGATGAAAGGATATTTATTTGTCTGTATTATTTTTCACTTTGAACTGGCTGAGAATCATAGGAAATGTAGGCCAGTGACAGCTTGAGTGTTGAATGTTGATGATATTTTTTTTTTTTTTAAATCTTCTTTCAGTAATTAATGAAAACCAGCGACGACAACTGGAAACTGTGAGCTACTCCTCTCGTTATGCCCTGGGACTCTTTTATGAAGCTGGCACACAGATTGACGTCCCCTGGGCAGCCAAGTACATCACCGATAATCCCTGCATACGCTTCATCTCCATTGATAATAAGAAACGCAATGTAGGTCAGTGCTTCCATTATTCCTCTTAAATACAGGGACAATGGAGGGTGTGGATCATGAGATATGCTGCGTAATTGAGGGCTGCTGCTCTAAAGAGAATATGTATTTAGTTACAGGCCTCCGGGAATGAATACAATGTCACACTAGGCCAGTAACAATAAGGAATCCATAATACCTCCTGATAATATTCCTTGACAGCTTCCTGGCCAGGGTATATTGAATATTGGTTTATGAAGCCTCAGGTGTGCTGTTCCTATAATGTATGACCTAAATGCAAGACAGAATGCCATGGTTATTTTACTAGCTGATTTATAAATAATGTAGAAAAGGGCAAGTAATGATGTGGTCGCAGTAATCAATCAAATGTTAAATTTACATTTCTGTTATTTGCGTTCAAAATGACATCTGGAATCTGACTGGCATTATGTTCAAATTGCCTGTGGCCCATAATGTACAGACAATTGTATGTCTGGGCAAAATAAAAAAAAAAAATATTCCAGTACATCTCTGCAATGCATGCACATTTCCTCATGCTTTGTCTTTTTATAAACATTACAGGCAGCAAAAATGTTGGCCTGTTCATCTGCTAGAAATCCAGTGTGTTAGTGTAACTAAACCCACATCATAAAAAACTATTAATAAATGCTGTAATACATGCTGTTCATACTCACTCATTCACTATGGGATTTGTTTTCTATATTCTGTAAAAAAAATATGGTTGGTTCTGCTGTTCTCTATCTCCCCCTCCTGTCTATGTCCCCAATGCAGCTTTCAGCATCCCACACTTAAGTTAGATACATGCAAACCGAAAATTGGCCGAAAACTGTTAGTTCAGCAGGAAGTGGATGACTTTTGTCCTGTTTGTACAGCCATTTCTGGAAGAAAACCAGCATCTGATCAGTCCTGGCAACCAATGGCTGCCAGCACTGATCAGTATGTTGTGGTGTGTGTGTGTGTGTGTGTGTGTGTGGGGAGGGGGGGGGGGAGGTGGGTAGTCTTGTCAGAACACAAAAGCACAGTGAGGGAGATTGCCGCACTAACATCTAGTAAAGCGGTTTGCCAGTTGACCCTGTGCAGTATATCTGCTCTTCCTACACAAGTCCCAACCAACTGACACCATGGCTGCCATAAAAGAGAAGTATGGCTAAATCTTTTTTGGTCATACTTCTCATGTGGGTCACAGGAGTCAGGCTCCAGGCTCTGGAAAGATCCCTACAATAATGTCGGGATCCACCCAGATACCTGATTGGAAGCTGGCTCAGCCTCTCAGCATTCTCAGCCTGAAGCTGGCTCAGGCTCTCATAGAGAGCCTGAGCCAGCCACCCCCCCCCCCCCCCTCAACAGCTTGGCTGTCCAAGTAAGTGCTGGAGGGACAGAGCTGAGATTGGTGACTGACAGTCAACGCTCTCTACTCAGAGCAAATCGCGAACTGAACGATCAGTGATCGCTCAGTTCTCAGTCTTAGAGCCTCTGTGGGACAACTGCAGCATCACAGATATCCTGCAGCAGGGAGGTGAGTATGTAGGAGTTTTTTTTTCTAAAATCCACGCTTCTTCTTTAACCAAAGCTCCTTTCAGTGTCCCTTCTAAACCTGATGGCTATGGTTCAAAACCCATGCAATCAAATCCACCAGGTGAAATCAGGCAAAAATTTAATTAGGATTTAACAAATTATTGTGAAAACAAGGCCGAATCTAAACCATAAACCTAACCCCAACCTCCTGTTTAAGCTTTCAAAAGTAAGATTGAGGCAGTGAACTCAAACTTTTTTTTTATAACACACCAGTTAATGGTAGCTCCTATTAAGCTGTTTTTCAGATGTTCTAAAACACAAAGTAGGGGTAATTCCCACAAGTTAGGAGCCACCCAGCTTGAGTAATTTGGATAAACGGGAAACAGGTAGAGTTCCAGACAGTCAGTTTGTGGACTTTTGGGCTGATTGTCTGGTGCACCATCCTTTTGCTGTCTACTGTTTAAGATGACAACATAGTGCCTCTGCTACACTGAAATCCCATGCTTTGTTGTCAGCCCTGCCCAATTATCCCTTACTGGTCTATAGGACACCTCCTCACCCTCTGGTTTTTTTTGTTTTGTTTTTTCCATAGCGTAAGGCAAATGGGTTCTGTAGTCAAAAGGGTAGGACTGGGCAAGGCAGATAACACTGCTTTGGATTTTAGTGTAGCATAGTGCACTGGAAGTTAGGAGATTAACTTCAGGATCAACAGGCCTTTTTCTATACTAGCAGCATTTATAAAAAAAGGACAAACATGGGAAAATGTGCATACTTTAAAAGATAGGTTCACCATTTAACAAAAAAATAATAAATGCACATCTTTTTGCACGTAATAAAATGTGCATTTATTTATTTTTGTTGAGCGTGGAAAGCATTGCACCAGCAGTCAGCAGATCACTGGTGCCTTGCAGGTCTCCTGCAGACTGTCAGTGTAATCTATCTGCCTGTACATCGTACGAGTAGACAGTTTTACACAGAGAAGAAGAATCATTGAGTTATCAGAGCGCTCAACAGTGCCATGGTAGTTCATTGAAAAGTACAAGCTGACAGCCACAAAGGTGGGTGGAGCCCTGCACGGCCGCGTTTTTTTAAAAATTGTGACCGGGGGAGTAGATCCAGTCCTACATTAACATGTTATACCCTGATCATGGGTGTAGCATGTTATGAAAGGTGAGCTTATCCTTTAAACATACTGTTCAGAAAGGCAGAACAGTTAGATTTCAGCATTTATTATCAAAGTAAATCAATTAATCTGACTGGGCACCAACCTTGTTCTTCTTCAGTTTTCCAAATGGGCCCTCGTCATTTTTTTAAATTCAGTTTTAGCAATGACTTCAGGCTTGTCTGTAGGCTCTGTACAGACAGGCACCAGCTGCTAATGTAACACTGGCACTTATCTAAAACCCTTAGCCATATTAGACAGAATAAAGAGTGCAGCCTCAAAGTGGATCAAAGCTGCAGTCTGTTTTTAGGTAACCTGTATCACAAGTCAGAACTTCAGCCACAGAAGCTTCTTTATTGTAACTTCTATTTTAGGTTAATGATATCAATTGACGTGGATCTGAATATGTTTATCATTAGTGATCTAGAACCAATATGTGGCTTGTGAATTGCGAGAACAGCTTCTATCAGAAGTTTCTGAGACAGGTATTTGATTTGTGGCAAAATCTCTTTTACTTTAGAGTTGCATAGAGAGCCTTAGAGAGCCATAAAGCACAATATACTTTTCTTATACCTGGTACTTACATTCTCATGCCTATGATCCTTACATCTAAAGCCCAACTGAATACACAGTTTAGTAAACTGAATAAATTCCAGGTGTATCAAAACAAAATTTTCCAAAGTCTTACAGTTTTGCTTTCTTTGGAAAGCAAAAGTAGCCACAAAGTAGAAAAGGCTATCTATTGCCAGCATAATTACAAAGTTAGTCTGATTGAAAAAAAGACAGAAGTCTATCTAGTTCAGCCAATAAAAGGGGCAAAAATATACAATCCTATATACTAAATCCTATACCCACAGTTGATCCAGAGGAAGGTAAAAAAAATAAAGCTTGATCCAATTTGCTCCAGCATTAGAAAAAATTCCGTCCTGATCCCCTTAGAGGCATTTGAATATTTCCTGGATCAACTTTACCTATAAATATTAGTATCCGGTTATATTGTGTACATTTTAGAAAGAATCCAGGCCTTTTTAAAAACAACCTACTGAGCTGGCCAGAAACAGCTCTTGAGGGAGTCTATTCCACATTTCACCGCTCTTACTGTGAAGAAGCCTTTCTGTATGTGGAGGTTAAATCTCTTTTCCTCCAGACGTAAAGAGTGCCCCCTTGTCCTCTATGATGACCTTAAAGTGAATAACTCTACACCGAGTTCACATATGGATCAACTATGTATTTATACATGTCGATCATATTCCCCCTTAATTCAGTTCCTCTAATCTTCTCTCATAGCTGAGCTCCTCCATGCCTCTTGTCAGTTTGGTTGCCTTTCCCTGCACTTACTCCA